TTGGGGGATAAATAATGTTCAGACATGCTCCCAGAAACAAATTCCTGCCATGGTAATGTGAAAAAAATACGCAGTTGCCCAATTTCCTCCAACTCTCTCTCCCCACGATTAAAAACAATTTGTCACAACAATCACACTTTTAGTCTAGGTAGTACTATAGGTACAAGTTGTTTTATTATTGGAAACGCGTGCCAGACTAACATACAAATAATAGTTTTTCTTGTCATTTTTATGTATTATTCAAATAATGAATGGACACACAATTCTAAAAAAGTGTATGTTTGTTATGTTTCTATTATTGTCTATTTACACAATCTCCATATATATCTTAGGCTGAAGAGCATTTTATTACAGTGTGAAATTAACATATAATATTTGAAAGGAGAATTGCCTATATTGTACACCCCTGAAATGAAATAGTTAGGTCCACCGGCAGACATGCGTCAATTCTGTTTTAAATATAAGGGTTATTGCAACATTCGAAGTCAAAGCTTATAGCAGTAACAAACAATCTGATTGGTTAGAATATTATGTGTCAGGGTCGGGTAGCCAATCAGACACAATCTTGTAAGTAGTCTCGCATTGACTCCAACAATGATGTGACTATGCAGAGGAAGCTGTAAAATATCCATATGAATCTCGTTTCTGCCCGCTGGAATGATTTTTTTAGGAAAAAAAGTAATCAATTAAACGCCCAATTACATGCTAAATTTGTGCTTGTTTGAAAACGGCGTAGTAAACAATTTACTGCAAACATATCGGCCACGTAACCAATATTGCTATATGTTCTTTACATCAGAATGGACCGTTTCTGTTTCATTTTTTTAGTTTAGGACACTTTGTTGACTTTATATGTATGACCGTATTAGTTTATATCAATGGAAAACAATCACTTAATACATTTTAACTTTTATGTTATTGTGAATACATATACATGTACCCACATAAATATATCCATCATCACAGAGCATATCATATATTATACGAGAGATGCATCGGCCAAGTAATTGACAGTGTGAATAACCAAACAGAGATCACGCCGTAGCTGTTGGTTTCTTGCATTAATGGTGAGAGACAAACCATGGAGTTGGTCAGAGTTACCGAATACAAAAAATGACAAAAGTTTCAGTACTAGTGTTGGTGAGGTGGTTGAGATATTTTAACGAGTCGTAAAACAGAGTTGTCCCTGACTTCTGAGTAGTCAGTGTCAACATATGGCGGAAATTAAAAGATGATTTGTTGATTGAAAAATATTTTGTACTTGCCTAGTACTTCAAATTTAATTAAAGGGTTACAAAAGTCTAGAATTTATCACTTTCACAATGATTCTTTAATGGTTTTATTGAAATAAAAATAAATTTTAAAAAGTAAGACCGCATGTATTGCTTTAAATGGTCCGTTTAAAAAATTGGGAAAATGAATAAACGAAACTTGAAGGAGCGCTCAATTGCGAGCGCTACAGCAAACTGTGACGTCATTTCTGAACCACACTTCAGTTAGACTATTTGTGTATAAGTTTGCGTCACCACTTTTCTGAACCGCCGTGAATACAAAATACTATGGTGAGGTGCTGTGCAGTTGACTGCAACAATGACTTAAGAGATAACTCGAGAGTGTATGAATAGCTAACACACGGAACACCGGGAGCTGTTGAAGGCTACGCTATCACAACACACTTTTGCTCCTTAGTGTATCCTACACTCATTACATGTATTACCTTTACCGATCACGTCACAATTGGTAATCAGAGAGAATGAAATTTGAATTCGGACATGTTCTAGAAACAATTATTATTTCCTATAAAAAAAAAGGCTAAGTTGAAAAACGCGTAATCAGTGTTACCAATTACAGATTTATCTCAAGAATTCAAAAGACAATATTGTCTTTGAATTAATATAGTATAATGATAGTTCAAGTCAATATTGTATCTGACGCGGGAAGTCATTTTTTCCAACAAAAAACGCATGTAATTGGAATGAAAACACGTTTTCAACGTCGGACAAATAAACATTAACCGAAAAAAATTCCAATCCAACACCCTGAAAACATCTCGAATTAAGGCTTTTATGTTGTATGCATATTTACCGTGACTGGATTCAAAATCTAAAGTAAAACAAAACGAAAATAGATTTATAATATCATCAATATTGTCGTGTGATTACAAAATGGAATGACAGCTACCGCCCAAAAGTGTGTTCTTTCAAAATGATGACAACACCTTGGTTCAATTAACATAAGAAGTTCATGTCAAGACGTTCAACTTCAAACTTATTTACCAAGAAGTTTGCGAGGCAGCAGTCTTAAATATGAATTGTTGTCAGATATAATATACACATATGAGTTTCATCCATTCTCGCTACACAACTAATATAAACCATGTATACATACATAAATACATTTGTTTTCCAGATTGCGAAAGAGAGCACAGTGACGTCTACAGTCAAGGATGCTCGGAAAAAGAAAGACCCTTTATTCAGATTTGTGTTTGGTTGCACAATCTAATTTTAGTAATTTGCTACGACGAAACAAATTTTATCGATTCGCTTTCGTGTTTCAAAGCTAAAAAACGCCTATGTCAAATAATAGAGTTTTTTCCAATCTTCCATGTTTATAGATAAAAATAAGAATTCAGCTCAGTGGCCATATAATTTGTGGGCTTAATCAACCATGTGTCAAAAAACGATGATAATGATAGCCAAGGGTCGCGGGAATTTATTTTTTGAAATGTTGTATTATCGGGGGGGTTAATACAATTAGCGAGTATGTGCTTTTAATAGTTTATCTTGAAGAAAACGGAATATAACTGTTCACAAACATTTCTCTTGTTTTGGCTGCAAACAGCAGTATTTGTTTTCAATGAATTATGCGGGTTTGCCTAGTACACGTACATGTAATCAAAAAAAATATGTTTTCAATATTTCATCGACATTATATTGAAATATACGAGTTGTAGAAAAAATATTATTGTCACAATAAATCATACCATATGGGTTTTTTCAAGATGCAATAAAAACAAATATTTAAATATGCTCATAAAATCAAAGTAAAATGTATATTAAAGAGTATAGATGCACAATTCAATGGCATTTCACCGAGTCGAATTTGAATATGGACACCCTTGGTTATAAAGCGCCCGATGTGGGTCAATTACACTTATGGGTACCAGTGTATTATAAAGCGCCCCCAGTGCCGATTATTTGGGGTCAGTTTTCAACTGGCCTCAGAAGAGCACTCTCACCAAAATGTCAGGCGAATACTCCCGGACTTATGATCTTTCTATCTATTCGTGGGTCCGAGAATCTTCCGTTATGGTGAGAACCAACGGACCCACTAAATAAGCGAAAGCCAGGGCCTTCGCAAAACAGAAAAGAAAATTGGAGAAATTTGACGCTGCACACAGTTTGCAAAGTTTCATCAACAGAGGGCGCTATGCAATGGCTAACAAGTTGGGAGATCGGCAAGAATTTCTTGGGTTGAGCCACAGTCCCTCAACACCAGAGAGTATCTAATGCGTTGATAAATAGTTGTGAAGTTTGTAGGTATAACACGCCATTATCAAACGACTGCAATAATATAATTTACGTAACACTCTTCAACCACTTTTATTGGTTTAAACTATAGAAGAATAAAAGAACACTACAACATGTATCATGTATGAACAAATATTAAACTCAGAGCAGCTGCTACAGAAGACAAAATAATCTCACCTACAGAGTTCTATCTAAACATTTGTGCCAGGTTATTTATGATATAAAATAAACAAAAACAAACACACTGTGACATGAAAATGCAATAATTTACCTTACACATTGTGCATTGCACTTGTTTTTAGAAAGAACACGAATATTAGTTTACATTGCTATATACATACTCTATCATAGAGGGACTGTGGCATTGCCTAGGAATGTCGTGATCTTAAAGCGGGGAGTCGTCACTTGCGCATGCGTCAGATGGCCATAGCGTGACATTGTTTACAAACAAGCGTCTACCCACGAGCCTTTGCGTTTTAGCGTGTGTTGTTATCGTCGCCTGGGACTCAATTCTCGCGCGTGCGCAGGTGACGACCCTCCCGCTTTAAATGACGAGAATATAATTGACACTTTGTTGTTTAGTTGTTCATTGCACAATACCAGGATGCCCCGGAGTAGAGAATTGTTAACAACAGCTCTGCGTTTTACATTTTGTGTAGAATGGGGATTTACATTCTTCATTTTATATGTAACAAAACATGGAAATTTTATTCAACAAATGTTGTAACCAAACTACATTATGTGACGGGCGCTAACTATGT